TTAGTAAAATTTAGTCTGAAAAGTTGACATTGGATAGAGTAAATGTTGTTAACCTAATATATTTCATATCATACTTGTAAATGTTCAATCTAAATTCTCAAACCCTCCTAAACGCAGAATGTAGGTAGTGTGCCTCCATGTGAGTTAGTCTCCTACCTGAAGACATTCCTGTAATAGTTGAGGGCTCCTGTTAGAGCTCCTGGTTGTGAGAGTGCATACAAATAAGCTTCCAGGTCCTCTGCAGTGAGCCACCGGCCCTTTCTCCCAATCCCTGTGCTTCGACTGGTGAACAAAGACTTCAGAGCCTGCAGGAGAGACAGAAGGAAACAGCTGGATGAGTTTGATGCTGGAGCACTTAAATCTACAGAAAATGAAGGGAAGGACACCAAGCATGAGTCAGAGAAGATGCTTTGCTGGAGACTCTGCTCTAATGACCTTCAGTACGGTTCTGCCTCTCTGAACTCCTGCTAGTTTGACAGCATTTCATGCTGGGCTTCTAAATCTGAAAACTCAGACAAAACATATGGCGTCGCTCTTATAGTTGAGCAAAAAATTCTGTCAAACCCACCATGATGCATAAGAATTAAGAAAAAAAAGAAGCTTTTTTGGGGGGTAAATATAAGGAGATGTTTGAGAGGCAGAAATGAAACCATGAATGAGAAGATGAAATTAACAGACAACGCTTGAACACAGCAAAGAGCCATCAGTCTCTCTCTGTAAATCTATGAGCTGCCAAATCCATTTCCAGCTGTTTACACAAAGGGATGTAACAAAAAAGGTTTTTGCCTATTAAACAATTTCTTAATTTATCAAATAAAAAAGATTTCAGATCATCAAACTCATTTAATGAACTACAAATATAACCTGGGTAAAAAAATACAAAACATACAATCCCCAAGCATAGCGGCCAAGCTTATTGAATCATGAATTAACTTTGATTAAATAACATCTTTACCAGCTAAACCAATGCCTTTATTCCAATGCGATACGATGATGAGCTGAGCTGAACATATCAGCCGATACCCGATAGTGAAAGTACGGAAGAGGATTAGGGCCACTGAAAAAAAAAGTTGACTGATTTTAAAATTTTATTTCAGTTTAACATGGGAAAAAAGTCAGAATTCTGACTTTTTTCT